GGGCGGGGTGGGGGGGGGGGCACGGCCTTGGCGATAACTACGCGAGGACGACACCCAGGGGCGCACCGGAGACACGGTTGCGGTGACGTCAAGAGGCGTGATGGGGCAAGGCTCCACGGCCGCCAGGACGGCTGCCCACCTGCGACACGGCCTGGTCGACGACTTCCCAATTCTCACCTTCAGATCCCTGACCTCCGCCCGAAGACAGCAGTGCTCGCCAATATCCGGTTTGAAGAGACAGCACCTCTTCATGCTGCACGTCCAAGATCCGCATGAACGACCTGCAAATGCCCGGTTAGGTTTATGGATGTCGTAGGCCGTGTATGACGTATTGGTAAAGATACATCTTCCTCTCTACTATTACATTACACTTCATTTAAATTACACATTAAAAATAAGTCTCCTTACTTGCTCGGTTTGATGGCATTACAAGTTTCCCAATGAAACGTTTCAGCGCAGCCTTAAACTTCCTCATCGTTGCTAAGAATACGCCAACAATAAGCTGACATGGCGGGGGCTGCCGCGAATGAATCCGCGCTGCGCATTGATGGCGCATCGCGTCTCGACGGCATTCCGCACAGGCGACCGATCGCTTTCGGGCCTCCGCCCTTGTCTCACTCAAGGGGTACTATCGAGGCGAGAGAGACAGCATGACAACAGGCTCTTCGGAATCAATCGGCTGGGTGTGGGAAAGAGCGCCCACCCGGGTAGGCAAGCAGGCAGACATTTGTGCGTGTGGAACCCAGAGTTGCCTATCTACCAGCCATCGTGTCGGCTAAGGGATCATCCAGAAAGTACGTCCGTCAATCGCCGCTTCGAACCTCCCAAGTTCAGCCTCTGCAAGGTCCCATAGCGCCTGTTGGGTAGGCAACATCCTGCCTGCTGTGCAGGCGTGTACTGCGGGGTGGCCTACCCCGAGGCTCGCAGGCGCCGAGCTCCCGTATTTTGTCGCAGGAATCCGAGAAAAACGGACGTACTTTCTGGACGATCCCTAACTGGAAGCAGAGCTGTGTTGTTAGAATTTCTTTCGGATCGGGATTGGAAGCATGTGTAATCGGAATGGTCCAACATTACAGTCATCATCTTGCAATTATTTTTATAGAGGTCGACCGTAGGCGGCCGGTATTAGCAGTAGCTCCTTCACGACTCCTCGCGAGGCGCTGTGTCCAGAAATATGGACATTGTAGTGATCAAGGAGAAGGGTGGTGAATGTGGGGAACACTGTTTGGATACTCTTACATGTCTCAGAAAGGAAGACGAACTGAAAAAGAGAATATTAAGCCACGGAGTTCTTAAGGCGCCGTGTCCAGAATTATAGACATACTACAAAACACAGTACTGTTCTGGAGTGATCAGGTGAAAACGCACTATTTTCACAGAGGATGTTGGTAGAGTAGTTTCCTCGATAAGATAGCGATTTGGATATATTTGACAAGAATATATCGGACTTTTTGAGCAAAATTATCATTTTTTCGTAATTTTAGAGAAACGGAGTATTATAAATGCTGATTTTTGGAGGTAATGCGAGTATGGTTGACTTGATTACAGTATGTACTTGATATATATTTACTCGACTGTCGGATCAGGTCAACACATAACGGGTGTAAGGTAGTTAAAAGTAGTGTGTGCGTATCCTTAAACGCGCCGCGTGCATAATTATGGACATTCTGTAACTTCTAAACTATAAAAGATAGCGAGGTGCGGTTGGAAAATTTGGATTCTCCGTGACCTAAATAACAAGGAGATCATAAAAAATATTTTCTGTTTTAGTGGGTTTAGTGTGCGCGCTTTAAAGGGTTAAGGAGAAGCTTGGCAAGTTGCCGTAATGCGGGCAATTTCTCTACTCGATCTGGATCAATGATGACACCATCATATTTACGGACGTCTTCAATGTATTTCTGCTTTTGCTCAGCGGTTGTGCACTCGGGAGGCCACCCGCTAGCTTGAAGTTTCAAAGCCATGAAACACCGGACATAAGCAGACAGTATGCCGTCCTTCCCGGTTTTAGGGTCGTACTGCATAACCTCTGGATACTGGTACACTTCATGAACTTTAAGGAGCTGGTAGCCCTTCTCGAGTGCAAGAAGTAGTTCGGGTGCACACCATGTGTCCATGAGTTGTCGTTGAGCAGAATCCTCGTGTGTGCACTTCTCTTCGTTTAAGATTTCAACACAAGAACGACAGAGAGGAAACATGAGTTTGCCGTTCGCTCTGTATGGTAGCACGGGAATATACAGGTCTCGAGGTGGCAGCACTGTGCATTTGATGACACCGTTCCAAGTGTCCGTGTGGGGCATTTTAGGGTCGCCTTCTAAGAAAATGGAGGGATGGCCAACAGGGTACTTCCCTCGCAGATTTGCATTTGGATATTCGGACACAACGTCCGCCATTTTTATTTTCTCGCCATTTTTAAGGTCTGCCTTATGGTACCATCTCATAGCATTAGTACGACCCCCCGCTAAAGCGTCTCGCAAACGAAGGGGAGATACCCTGGTTGTGGGATGTGTTTCGAAAAATGCTTTGACCTTAGGGTCATTTTGAAGCTCCTCTTTGAATTCACACTCCCATTTCTCAATGACAGTGTACCCAGAACGACGGAAGATGGCTGTAAGCCTCTTTGTCTGATCCAGACGATTCTCTGTGTCTCCCTCAGTCGGTGGATAATGTCGGGGGCACTGGTGCCAATAGTCTCCATGAAACTGGTATATCCGTTTCTCAATGTCCCCGTTCTTCTTTGGAATTTCGACATAACCATCCACCCGTCGACCAAGCACAGAGACTTCTCTATGACTGTATATAGTCTGAATGACCATTCCTAGTTTGTGAGCTTCGTAATCTAGCCACTGCAGCGCTATGTGTGATTGCTTTCCCCTGCCATGGTAACCTCCACTCGGCACAAGAGCAATTTTGTCTTTGGGCAAAAAGTTGCGTCGATATGCTGCCATGCATGCACTGCTAAGCGTTATACAGCTAAACATGGGATCGAAGCCTGCAGTCTCAGCAAACAGTTTCCGAAAAGCTAAACAACCCTGAGCCAATATGGTCACATCAGAGACGCAGTATTCTATGATTTCCCTCCTGAAATTGAAAACCACCCCGTTAGCAACCTGCTCATCATACCACGAGTCGAATTCTAGCGCAGCCTTTGATTTCATGCTCGGTACACAATAAAATTCTTTGGCGAGCATGGGACCATTGTATGAAAAGTACTCAGGTTTGAATGCAAGATAGGGGGCCCATCCTTTCTTCAGCTCCTTCAGACCGAATGACTTCGGCATAGCACTAAGGGGCATGGGCAAGAACATTAGTGAGTCGATAAACTTCCACGAACCCACTTTCATGCAGATAATTTTTGCCCCCTGTAAAGTTATTTCGATTGGTAGCTCACGCCTTACCATCTCAGTCACGAAGAACACAGCGTCGAAGGCTTTAGCGTTATGAGCTGTAATAAGAAGCTCAGTCTTCGGTCCAAACGACTGGAGATAATCTATGAACTGTTTAACAACATCAACATTGTTGTCATCCATATTGTGAAAGACATTTTGGCGATTCCTACAGACAGTACAAAAGTAGTCATTCTGCATTATGTCGGAGCACTTGTCACAGACCGCTTGGCAGACTAATAATATAGGTTTGTGTTCAAATGTGCCAGGCTGACCCTCCACGGGGTCCACGGCTGAAGTCTCGAAATCATAAAATATAGAAATGTATTTGATTTTTTCCTTTTTGGGGGGCTCTTCCCAACTCTTCATGTAACAGAGGTGATTCTCTCTTACATTTTCCTTGCAAAACTTACAATAGACAAAAGTGCACTGATGGACTTGGCCCCTTGCAAGTGAATAACTTTTTTCACAACTTGTACAAAATCTAAAGGTGTCACATTTTGTTTGCTGAGTGCGAGGGAGTTTCACTGTTTTGTGAGTGTTAAAGCAATCGGTGCATTTCACAAAAAGTGCCATATTTGCTGTCCAGTGGACTTTATTCCTGAAGTATATGTGCTGGAAACGAAATACTTCGCCAAAATATCGGCAGGCACTCAATGATAATCGCCCAAACCCTCCCGACGTTCAAAGTTCGAATAGGAACATGCCCGGGCTATTATAGTCGTGATTTTGGACGTTTTTCGACTGTCCACCAAATCAGATTTGATCATATAATCGATTTGAAAAATATGATATGAGGTGAATTGAGCTACAACGAAGGTCAAAACGGAACAAGTACACAACATACTTCATTTTAACGCATTAGTTTCGTTTGTCTATAGAGCAACAATTGAAATTTCTTTGATTATAACACTTTTAAAGTTTTGCACAAATTTGGTTCTTCTAACTTTAAATTGATATAAAAACTGATGTTGAGTGTATAAAAATCAGTTTCTAGCCAAAATAGATAGCTTGTAGTATTAGCTAATAGAAAAGTACAACGATAGACCCCATTCAATGCTCCACACTAGTATAAACTTGATTATGTAAAGGTGGAAATCAGTAAATTGACTAAAACCGCCTCGGAGGGGGGGGGGGGTCGGCTGCGAGGCTACAGGCACCTCGCACAGGCCTGGAGGTGAGGCTAGTCCACAGACCAGGGGAGGGGCGGCGACCGGAACTGGACAGGCCAGTCCGACACGTTGTCGGCCGGGTGTCCGGAAGGGGACACTCGGTGCTGTGCTGACCTCGCTCGGGGAGATGACCGGGAGGGGACAGGTCCTTCCGAGCTTATCAAGACGGCGACCGGAAGTGGACAGCCCAGTCCAAAACGTTGTCAGGGGGTCGTGTCCGGGAGTGGACACTCTATGCTGACCTCGCGGTGTAGGTGGCCGGGAGGGGACAGGTCCTTCCGAACTCACTAAGACAGCGACCGGGAGGGGACATGCCCGGACCACGATGTCGGGGACGTGCCCGGGAGGGGACAGGCCCTCTCTAGCTTGTCAGGATGCTGACCGAGAAGGGACACCATGTTCGGACCTCGCCAAGAAGGTGACCGGGAGGGGACACTTTGCTCCCACCTCGCCAGTGAGGTGACCGGGAGGGGACACACTCTTCCAACCGCGCCAGTTAGGTGACCGGGAGGGGACACATTGTACCGACCTTGCAAGTGATGTGACCGGGAGGGGACACACTCTTCCAACCTCCCTAGTTCGGGGACCAGGAGTGAACACTCTATGCTGCCCTCGCCTATGAGATGACCGGGAGGGGACAAGGGGTGGGGATGGGGGGGATTGGGCCCCTATAATTTTGAGCGGCGATTCGAATGAGCACATCCTAGGTTTTTCGCAAATATCTCGTGACGGGACAAGTCTAGAATCTTGTCGACATCACCATCGTCTTTCTTTTTAAAAGACCTTTCAAACGAGTATAAGGTTGATAGCTCTCAGATACGTCGTTTAGTAGTTACGTTCCTAGGGCACTGAGCCCTATCAACCTTATACTCGTTTGAAAGGTCTTTTCAAAAGAAAGACGATGGTGATGTCGACAAGATTCTAGACTTGTCCCGTCACGAGATATTTGCGAAAAACCTAGGATGTGCTCATTCGAATCGCCGCTCAAAATTATAGGGGCCCAATCCCCCCCACCCCCACTCCTTGTCCCCTCCCGGTCATCTCATGGGCGAGGTCAGCATA